AAAAAAAAAAAAAAAAAAAAAAGCTATCGGTTTCCTTCATATCCCCAGTTTATTATCAGTGCCTGCTGTGGCTGGGGCACTTTGCACCTTCCCCACACGAGCAGCAAAATGTGCTTCCTCTTTGCAGCTGGGAGGGGGCTGCAGAGCAGAGTTGGCTGTGAGGGTGGTCCTGCCATTCAAGCGTGGGGGACCGCCAGACCTGTCACAACCCCTGGGCCTCATGGTGTTGAGTTCACATTTGCACAGCACAGTGACAACCTGATGCAACCCCCAAATCCTCTTTTTGGTTCACATTTCTTCCTGATGCTGTCTGCAACATGTGTGTCCTGGCTCTTAAAGCCTTTTGTGCAGAAAGCATCATGATGGGTCTATGCATGGTGACTAGAGCGAAGGAACCACAGACCTGCGATGACACAGGCCTTCCTGGACACATTCCTCAATGGACATTCATTGTCCTTAAATTTAGAGGAGCTTCACCTTGGGGTGGCTCAGGTGCAGAAGAAATGGAATGAGCTGGATCCCAGATTGCCAGAGTTGGAGGCCCAGCTCCACTGCTCACTGGCTACGTGACCCTGGATGAGTTATTCAACTGCTCTGGTCTTCAGCTGTCTTACGGGTAAAGTGGAGATGTTAGTACTTCCTATCTTGTGGGGTCAGTGAGTATTTAAAACACAATGATGCATGTCAAATGCTTGCACTGCAGGGTCTAGAACCCATTAAGTACCCAGGAAGGCTGCCATCTTGGATACCACACAGTGGAAATTAGCTTTACAAATGAGTCCCACCAAATGGGTCATAAGAAGCAAGGCCCATCCCTCACCACTGCCCATTGCCAGCTATGCCTAGGGCCACTTAAAATGTAATAGACTTTATAAAACTCTGATTTATTTATTATTTTAGTGGAATGCAACCTAGCATGATCTATGCTAATCACTCTTAATCACTTCAGAAATGTTCTCCAGAAACTAGGAAGGTCTCTAGGCCCCTGGTTAGGTGGCCTAAGAGGTCACTTCACAGTGTCCCTGCTGGCTGCCTGGGTTCCAGTTTCTCAGGGTTGTGTCTGGTTACAGATGCACCAGAACCTATGCCTGGCCCCTTAGAAGTCGGAGAAATGGGCTTCTGTATTTCCTTCCATGTCCACCATCATCCCTCCCCTACTGAGTTCTTTGAGCTATTTGAGCAGAGACTTCTGGTGGTACTGGAAAGACAAGTGAGAAAAACAAACTCTATGGTGTTAGAAGTCCAAAAAGTGGCCATTATGGTGATGGAGGTGATAGTTTTTGACAGGAAGAAGCATGATGAAACTGTCCAGGGTGTTGGAAAGTCTCTATTTCTTCATCTAGCTGGTGGTTGCCAGGCATATATTAAAAGTTGTTGCCATCAAGCTGTACCTTTCAGTTTGTACCTTCTGCTAAATACAAGGATGCCCTGTGGGCAATATCACTGCCCCAGGTGCAGGTGGAGATGCTGCAGGCCATCCACATGTCATATGGCTGCCTGACCTACTTTCTCCTGGAGGGATGACAGTTCTAAGCCTCTATCCATTACACATCTTTGTCTCCCTCCACAAGTGTGTTTATAACCACAGGTCTTATTTATATCTGCAGTCACATCTATATATTTAAATCTGGAGAGAAGAGGAGTGTTATATGTGCGTGACTATATATAGGGTGGTTCACTTCTTTCAAAGAACAGGGAGATCTTAGCTCCATTATGTTTCTGGAGCAGGACACACACACACACACACACACACACACACACACACACACACACACACACACACTCTGGGTTCTCAATCAACAACCTTGACTTTCTCCCTCATCTGCAATGAGGTGCTAAAACCAACCTTAATGATGACCTTGGGGATGAGCAGCACAGTGGACTTCTGCTTAGCCAGGATGTCCTTGGACTCATTGATGCGAGCTGTGACGAAGAAATGCAGGAAGGCCTGCTCCAGCAGCTGGCCCATGTACTCACCCGCTCTGACCAGCACTTCCTTTTGCTTGACTGGCAGGAGCAAAAACAAACAGGCTGGCATCAGGATCCACTTTACTTGTCCTCTCTTTTTCCCATCCTTCCCGTGTGAGCCCCTAAGTCTAGATTTTCTCTCTAGCTTTTTCTGTACTAGTCACATACCATGATTTTTCTAAGAGAAACAAGCTGTTGAAAGCAATGTTTCTTCAAATAGCACCTATCCTACCTGTCTGTTGGAAGACCTCTGCACCAAATACTTGCTTCCTCAAATCAGTGATGTTAGCTGCTGAGTATGAGGACTGGCCACAAAGGATGGCATCTGGAAGACATGGAGTGGTCCCAGGTCTCTGCCAATTCCCATCGAGGCTGAGAATGGTGAATTCTGTGTTGTGCTTCTGGCCCACTTTCTGTATCAGTCCCAAGCCTGGGACTCTAGAGAGGGAAGGGCAGTTCCTCTGTAGGCTGAGCCCAGGTGCCACCTCTGCTCCCTCATCAGAGCCAGGCATCTGTTTTGAACCGTCAGTTGGCAGCCCAGGAGGTATAGTGATGACTCATGCCTCTATCCCCACCCACAGGGCACAGATTCCATAAGCACCCTTAAGACTGAACATCTCCACCGTCCCTGTCTAGTGTCTGACATTTGTCAGATTCTTCCTTCCAGAAGAAACTGTTGAAGGAAACAATTCCTATGGCTGGTAGTTTAAGTGCAAGGGCAGTTCATTTTGCCCACTACACTCTTGGGTTCACTTGGCCATACTCCTCATCCACAGGTGGGACCAATGCCTGGATCGGATCTGCAGATCAGCAGCACCATCATAATATGCATGCCACATGTTCACCACTCCTGCCCTTTTTGGATTCATCCAAGACAAGTACTCAACAACCAGCTTGGCTGGCTTGATTTCTAGGCTCCATTTAGAGCCCATTCCTGGAGGCTGTGACCACACTTTGACTTTGCTCTTGAATTCTGCCTTTTGCAAAGACCCCTCCTATTGCCTTCTTTGGCCCTGACCCTGGACCCTGCCTCCTCCATGGCTTTCCTAGTGATAAACTGCCCAGACGAGAGAGGTGCCAGCCTTCCTGGATTGGATATCACCTCTGATGAGAACATGTGCCATTTGTCACAGCCCATGACTGATGGCCTTGAAGAACATGCATTTCTCCCCAGATGCCTTCAGTAATAGTCACAAAAATGGGCTTGCTCTGACTACTTCTAGAGGGCTGTGTTTGACCTCTAGGTTTCTTCAGTCTAGTGGGATATGCCTGCCTTCTTTCTACCTATCTACAGAGGCTCTTGTTACCCTTACAATCTCAGCATCAGCATGCCTTTCTTCTCGGAGGCAGAACATTCCCTAAACCACAGCACTAAAGAAACTGGGCTGTGCCTCCAAGCCCCAGAGAACAGAGCTCCTGAAATAGTCAGTTATGTAAGCTCTGTGTTTTGCCACTGCACAAGAAATTGTTCTAGATAAAGTTTATTAAGCGTGTCAAGAGAAGGAGGAATAGATTTTCACTCTATGAGCAGCAGAGCTGGGATGCTGCCAGTATCATTTACAGTGTCTGGGGAAATCCAAGGGAGACACAGACTGGAGCTGCCTCATCACTTTTCCAAAAAGCAAAGAAAACTAAATATAGCCAAGTGGAAATGATAGCACCTTTGAAGGTATTGAGAAGTTTAAGTTAGTCAAATCTCCCAAACTGATTCTAGCCCACACATTCCCTTTTATCCTCATCTGGAAAGTCTGTCTTCCACTCTACTTGGAAAACTTTCTCTGCAGCGAAGGATGGCTTAGATCGAGGGCTAGAACTGTATGGCTCTTTGTGATATAGCACAGCTTATTTTGGATTGCAGTCTGCAATTTACTGCATGTAATTAATGCCACCTACCTGCAGAGTTAGAGAAGAAAGAGTTTCCAGTTCCCTTCAAGTAATTCAGGACAAGCCCTGGGGTGGCTGAGTGGGTGGGAACTACGTTACTGTTGACTCAGGCTCGTGTTTGGTCAGCTCTCCCTAGGTCAGTGACTAAGAGGATAACATACCCCGCTAGCCCTCTAGGTGCTATGAGCTCATTCCTTAATCGGGTCAGAGAGAGAGGGGGAGGACATTGACATACAGGGTACTGCTGAGGAGGGAAAAGGCGAGTGTTTAGTCCGCTGTCTAGAGATCCGTGCTGGACACCAGGTCACAGAGGCACGAGCGAGGAGGCCAACCCACTGGGGGCCCCAGTTTACACCTACCTGGCTCACTGCCTGAACGGGACCTGAGTTCTGTCACCTGCTCTGCCACGAATTGCTGGGAGCATCCTTGAATGCATCAACTCAACTTTCTAGCCTCAGTTTCCCCAAATGTTGCAAGTCACCACGTGTGAAGCATTTCGCGTGCACTCTCTCCTTTCATTTCTCTCCCACTTTCTTCTCACACACATATCCAAGCCGTGAGCCCATCAGAGCACCCACATCTGCCTGGGCCTCACTACTTCCACTGCTACACCACATCCCTCGGCTGGATGATGCCTCCTAACTGGTCTCCGGGCTTCGGTCCCCCTTCCTCTGCAGTGTCTTCTCAACGCAGTGGTGAAAGTGAGCTTTCAAAACCTAAGTCAGATCATGCTCAGATGCTCAGTGGCCTTCTCATCTAACTGGAAATAAGAGCCAAGGTTCTTACAAGGGCAGAAAGTTCTTTATATGGTCTGCACAGGCTGCGTCTCCCTCTTCTCACTTTCGCTCCCTCCGTATTCTGTTCTCTAGTATTATAACAAGTTACCTGAGGATGGATACTTTATGAAGAAAAGTGGTTATTTGTCTCACAGCCGTGGCTGGATGATTCAAGCAGCATGGTGCTGGTATCCTGGCTATATTATACTGTGCTGGAGAACAGAGAGAGCTGGCCTGGTGCAGAGCAGCTAAGCTCATGGAGCACCCTTACTTTGTAGCAGCCATTCTCCTAGGAACACTTTCACTCTGAGAACAGTGTCGGTCCCTTCAGAGGGTGACATTCCCATTGCTTAATAATCTTCCTTGTGCTCCAACACTTAAAGGTTTCACTACCTCCCAATAGCAGCTCACCGAGCTTTCCGACCACAACCCAGCCACATCAGCTCCCATTCTAGTCCTTGCTGCTCACTGAATGTATCAGACATGTGCATACCCCAGGGCCTTTGCACACACAGTTTCCTCAGGCTGCAATGCTCATTCTTGCCCTTTTGCCAGGCCTCTGATTAATGTCACCCTACCAGGTAGGTTTTCTGTGGCCACTCCACCCCAGGAACAGCACTCCCTGTCACTCCGTCTGCTTCACATTTTCCTATTGCACATGTAATCACACTGAGCAGTCATTTGTTTAAGTGCTCATTGCCCATTTTCTCCTCAAGACCAGAAACTACCTGAGGATGGGAATTGCTGCGTCTCTAGTGCAGAGCCTGTCTATGCACACACTAAATCTGGGCTCAGGGAGGAAAGAAACTGTCCTGTGCCATGGGCAGTGCCGCTCCCATACACAGACGAGGGGAGACAGCTTCAGGCTGCTGAAGCAACGTGTTCAGCACACAGACCTCAGGGGGCCAGACTCACACCTTCTATTCTGTCTAATTCCGAGTCTCAGGTTCTCTATAAGTGAATGTGTCTGCCTGTTCTAAAAAGTTAGATGACCCTCCTCCTCTTTGGTCCTTTAGGCTGACTTTTCTTTCCCACGGAGATCTACTCCTCCCACTTGAGATTTTAAAAAAGTGTTAAAGCTCCTAGTTTCCCAAGAAAATACCATGGTGATTTCTTAACTGTGAGCTGTATTTCCGAAACTACAGATAGTCACTTCCCTTAAGTTCTCAGAATTAGAACTATAAAGAACAGCTTCCCATTTTTCTGGGAATGTCCTCATGAGGGACAGCCACCAAGTCTTGCAAACTGGAGAAGAACTGAGACGTGCGATTTCACCGTTCCTGAGGGGTGCATAGTCGTACCTCCCTCTGCTTTGTAAAAATTAGTACTTGAGTAGTTCTTTCTCTGTTTTCAGTGCCACCTGTCAGATGAAGAGAAACCCAGTACCCTTCATAGTCTGGTCCCCTCCCATGTCCATCTCCCACTCTATCTAGCTGCCTGCACACCAATTTCTTCTGGCCAACACAGTCTGCTGGGTTCGGTGGTTGACTGTTGTGCTTACTGAAAATGAGCACCTCGGGAAAGACGAGATTGGTCAAACTTATAATCCTCAGTTTAAACTACAGTGTATCAGTGCCATCCTGCTGAGGGCATTCTGAGTTTCTAGAGTGATAAAAAAAAATGCTTGTTGGAAGATATGTGTGCAAGGAAGGATGGAAGGGATGAAGGATCTGAAAGAGGCCCCGAGAGATGCCAGAGAGCTCGATGCTCTGCAGACTCTCCTGGATGGCACAGTGTAGGTGCGCAGCCAGCTCTGACGGGGATGGGCAGAGTTAACCGCAGGGGTCTCTTTTCTGAGATGAGCACCTTACAGACTTCCTATGTGCCCCATTTGTTAAAATGCGAATTCTGATCCAGGAGGGCTGGGAGATGCTGCTGACCCATGGACTGTGCACTGAGTAGTTGGAAGTGAGGTTATGTTGAATTCCCATGATTATTGGGGCTCTAAACTTTGGAAATACTGATGATCGACAATGCATGTGAGATATAAAGATGGAAGATGAGGGTCTTCTAGAAGAGGTGAATTTTTGCTGTGTGGTTTACACCCCCCCAGCTTTGGGGAGAACTTAACTTGAGAACTGTGAGCGGAGAGGGTCACTGATGGAGACAGAGAGTCAACTAACTAGTCATGGGGGACCACACCCTGGTTAGCTTACAGGAAAAAGGCTCCAGCGCCACATCAAATGTCTCGTTCTTGAATTCTGTCTTGGAGACCCCGGTGTAGAAGGTGATGTTGCCCGAGAGATAGGCTGTGATGTTGTAATGGTTGGGGCTGTTGTTCTGGAAAGTGATGGTGACCTTGAAGTCCTTCCCCAGCACAGCAGTTTCCACTTGAAAGTCCATGTCCACGTTTGACCTTGATCTGACCACACCTTCTGTTTTGATGTCCTTTCTTGCCCCATACATGAGGGCAGTTTCTAGGGCCAATCTCTCTTCTTCCTGACCTAGGAGAGACCCAGAGATGATGACAGGAAAAAAGAAACCCGGCACCAAAGAGAACAGTGTCTTCCTAAACACACCTCAGGCTGCTCTTGCAGGACAGCCTCTGTAATCTCACAACCTCCCCTGGAGGCAGGTGTGGCCTCACCTGCTATCAATTCTGCAAAACCAGGGTAGCAGAGAGTCAGTGACCTGTGCCAGCTGGCGGGGCAGTAGGTAGCTGTGCTGCAGTCTACTGGGGAAGGGGATTACTGAAGGGGTATCTCTGAGGGTTGTTTCTCCAGAGCAATGATTCCAGGGCAGGTAAATTAGAATGATCTAACTCTTCTCAAACTGTGTTCTCAATTTTCTTCCCTTCCCAAGTCCAAGCCACACAGTTAGGATTTGGGGGTCCTCTAAGCAAAGATGTTAGAAATAGCTGTTTCCTGCCACTCTACCTCCTGCAGTGTTAGTTTTCTCTGACTCGTGAGTACTTTCCCCATTTCAGACAAGATCTGCCCACCTCCTTCCTGGGTGGTGCCCACTTGTTCCTTCTGTGCTGACCCTAGAGAGCTCCTGCCCTGCCCTTCTCCACCTTCCACAGTGGCCCCTGGCTGGAGGTAGACTATGGAGAGTATGTGTCCCCAAATTGTCTGTTGCCCTAGGATACTGAACTCTGGTGAGATGTTAACCAGCCTTCCCCATGTTGTCTAGAGTTTCCTGTGGGTTCACAGTCTACTTTCACCTATCAGAGGTTCTGAGACAAAGTCCTCCAGCAAGGAGGGCTCATAGGATCTCCCAGATGCATTTAACAATGAATGCTTTTTACTTTTGTTTTATTTTTTGACCTTACTGGAGATTGAATAGGCCCTTCACACTAAGCTACCTCCTTAGCCCAGTTATTTTTATGAGACAAGGTCTTGCTAAGTTGCTAAATTTCCCGGGCTGAGATCAAATTTGTGACCCTCCTGTCTAGCCTTCCTGAGTTCTGGGATTATAGGTGTGTGTCATCATGCTGTGCCTGAAGAGTTTTTGAGGGGTCCCACTTGGCCTATGGGGTGCACTGACGTTCTAACGCAGGTGGAGGTGTGAGTGTTATTTTGAGGAAAATGTCTCTTGGAAAGTTTCTAAGGTTGTCATGGTGGAGATGAAGGGAGGCAGAGATGAAGGGCAGTTTGCTGTAGAAGAAGAAAAAGATAGCTTTGCTCAGGTGTCTGAACAAAAAATGCAGCTCTTCCTTGGAGCCTCCAGGGCGCTTGTGCCTCAGATGCTGACCTGTCAGGCTAGCAGTGCTTAGGGTTCTGGGTGCAGTGCCTGGCTTGGGGAAGCCATGGGAGGTGCAGAGGGATGGTCACTGGTCACCATTCATTTTCCTACATAAATACCGTTGGGTGCATCCTCACACACCGTGGAGAGTGGAGATGGGTAGGTGAAAGCAAATTCTTTGGCTTGTACAAAATACTAATGAGAAAGGCTAGTGGGAAAACACCAGTTCCAAATAAGAAAGGTAGCTTTTATAATTATGTTAACTTAAAGATGTAATCTTCTACTCTACCTGGTTAATAATTGAATGCAGTGATGGTGAAAAGGCCAATTAATCATAATAACTACCATTTAACACTAATTATGTGCCAGGCACTGGGATCAATGCTTGTGCATTATTTCATGTAATCCTCATAACAATCTACCAGCTAGACGCTGTCAATACCACCCTTAAAGTAAGCAGAGCGACTTCACGGGGCCCTCAGGTGGACTGGAGGGAGTAGATGCACAATAAGTCCAAGTACTCTGAAAGGTCAAAGAAAATGCCAGCTGGCATTGCCTACACTCGTGCATGTGTGTACATTAACAATTTCCCTTGTCAAGACTGCAAGAACGTGCCAGAAACAATTGGTCCAGGGCAGGCATGGGCTAGAGCACATGTTTGCAGATCCATAGGAGGGAGATGGGAGAAGGCCGGGAGGGGTGAGGAACCTGAAAGTGCGGGAGGTATTTTAGCAGAAATCATCTGGCAGACGCATCCAGGAGAAAGAGGGCATTAATGATTATCCCTTTGGATGGGGGCCAAATATGCATTTAGGCGAAATGCGGGAGGCAAATTCGAGCGCCAGGAACTTGACCAGAGAGGAGCTGCCCGTGGGAGAGGAGCTGAGCTGCCCCAGCAGAAGGAGAGGGGTGGAAAAAGGCTTGAGTGGCTGGAGATGGTGGACAGTGGAGCCTTGAACGTCCTCGAAAGTGTTCATGGGGAAGCGTCTGCCCTGGGCCCGGGCACTGCCAGGCAGAAGTGGCTGGGCTCTTTCAGGAAGCACAGCTCTGTGGGAAGAGCTGTAAGGGTTCTCAGGCCTGGCGGAGTCTTCCTGCCTCTCTGCACTGATGCTCTGAGCTCTGGTGTCTTACATAATTCAGGGCTGTGAGCAACGCTGAGATTATCTAAAGCCAGATGTGTTTTCTGAGATTCCTCAATAGCCTCCAGGGACAAGGTTGAAAACATCTTCCTGTTGATTTGGATGTAACAGAAAAGCGTTTTCATGTTCCGTCTTCTCGTTGTCCAAGTCTGAGCACTGACGTCACTTCCTGAGACCCCTCTCCCACTGTCCTGTGGAATCGGCCTTCGAACCCGTCCTCTCATTGCTCACTCACACCTGTCTGGTTTTCCTCCCTTTCCCTTCTCACAGTGCCTAGCCCTGTGTGACATCACCTCCCCTGCTGGAACACAAGCCCCCTGAGAGCAGGGACAAGGTCTACCTTCTCTGGTTCTCTGTCTCCAGGACCCGGGACTTGGCTGGAACAGAGGTTCTGAAGGATCGAGAAGCAGGGCCACGATGCTTTCAACCAGACCCAACTTGCACCTTTAGCACAGGTGCTGCACGGTCCAGCTCGAGTCATGTCACATTCAGGGCAGCCCGGCTGTGGAAGGGTCGTTTCACACTATGGGATGGAGCCCCTAATGCTCCAGGCACTGTACTAGGCGTGGGGAAGAAACACAGTCCTTCCCTGTGGGTACAGAGGGGCAGGTGAAGAGCAATCACTGCAGTGAGGTGTGCATCGCAGGTGTCGGGACAGGTGATGGCACAGGGAGTGGTACCTGGGAACATGTGGGAGGGGCCCCAAGTTTGCTGCCTGACTGATTGCCACGTTGCTGAATTTGAGTGGAGGGGCTTGTCTTCACTGGGATAGGGAGTGCAGGAGAAGCTGTGTCAGATGCAGAGGGGTGAGAGAAAGTGGGCTCTGGGAGGATCCACTTTCAGGCTTCTGTGGGACCCTTAGGAGAAGCCTGGGTGGACACAGACTCGGGAGTCTCTGCATATTCAGATATCAGCGTGCATTAGCAGCAGCTGTGGTGGAAGCCGTACAGTAGGTGCGATGAAGCCCAAGGGATGAGGGGAGGTCAAGCGGCATTCAGAAGGGAGTGAAGAAAGCAAGCTGAGAGCTTCAAAAGGAGATGGAGGGGCTGTGGCACCAGGAGAAATCATGTTACAGAAACAAAAAGAATTTCAAGGAAAGGATGTGAATAACATAATCAAAGTACAGGTGGGCCAAACACGATGGAGCCTGAAAAATGTTTATTCCACACACAACAAGTGTCTTACACCTGTTGAAGAACAGTGTCAAGGACGTGCTGGTAGAGAAATCGATATCAAGGGCCAAGAATGAGCAGGAAAGGAACAGACAAGGGCCGGTCCGGACAGCTCACTTGGGAGGAACACAGAGCAGGGATGACACACAGGGAATACAGTGCTGGAGGTTATTGTAGATTTCTTTTAATTCAGGAGACACTGAAGTGTTAATTGGAGAGAGAAAAGAGCAAGGAGGGATGAAAATACAAGTGATAGAATGACTGATGGGGCAAAGAAGGAATGGGCTGGAGACCCCATCATAAAAGATCTATTCCCACAGTAGAAGTTTTCAGGATTCTGGATTTCAGAGCTTTATAGTTTCTTCACCTTATAGTTCAAAAAAAATGTGTAAAATCGACGCTAAGCTTTAGTTAGTGGAAGTGAAAAATGATCCTTCCACAGTTTAACTAGTTAACAGAGTTAATGCCTCAATCTGGTCATAATTTCTTTTCTGCATTGTTACTCATCTCCGTACTTTAGAGCCTACACTCAGCACGTGGAGATTCAGAGGAATTAGATGAGAGGGTCACTGTGACAGCCAGGGTGGTAAACAGGCAGCCGTGGGTGCTGCCAGCCTTCCCCACCCCCCGCCTCGGGCGGACATCTCGCCATCGTCTTGAGATGGAGTCTCTACCCCTTTCTCAAAATAGCGCTCCCCACCGTCATTTCCAGAGTTAGAACTCGAGATGCGTATGTTCTCCGTGAGGAGAATACTGTGCACCTGAAATCGATCTCCAGAAGCAGGATAGGGGGCATCTTACTGTGTGAATCTAGGGGTTCATCTAGCTTGGTATCCCCGAGCCTGCCCTCTTGCCAAATTCTGGAGGGGTGGACCTCAGCAGCCCTCCTCACGGGGAGTTGGAGTGTTCTGTATGTTTTAGTCTTTGTACATCCCAGCCAAAACCCCAGCTTCTCTTTTGCAGATTGGTTTCTGATCTTTTCTCTCTCTCTGCATCTGACATCCTGTTTCTAATTTAGTGTCCATTGTCCTGTCCCAGGGTGACAGTTAAGGCAGCTGTGTGCTGCTGTAGGTTTCTGACAAGATATCTGAGCACAGGGCTCACTGCGGCTCCTGGCCCCCTGTTTCTTTCCCTCTCCTGTCTGATCAGGATTCACGTCTTCCAAGGAAGGAGAATTCACGCTGCATTCCCTGCCTTGGGTCTTTCCTTGGAGGCTCTTTTCCTCAGCTTCTCCCGCTAATTCTGATTTATTCCTCAGACTCAGTGCTCTGCCCACTGCTCTGTGAGTGGGGCCCATTCAGTGTTAAACAGGTGGACAAATCACATGACCGCATTTGGGGATGAGGCAAACTATGAGATGGAATAAAATGAACTGCCCCCTCCATTCCACTCTGACAGTGGCAACATCCTCTGTATGTAAGGTGGTGCTGTGGGACCACGAGGCCCTCAGTGACCAGCGTCTGGGTTGGGAATCCTTCTGTGTGCTCTGAAGCATCTGCCTACCCATGTCAAAGCGATCCTCAGCCAGGATGATGAGGGTTTGGTTCTGATTTTCTCTGTAGCTACAGGGAAGGCCAGGCTGTGTCTTCACCCCACACAGCACTTAGAACATGGCAGGTGTTTAAGAGCAGGCAGTTGGATTCGTGAATGGATGAACGTGTAAATGGAGGACTGTTGCAGCTAGCTCCTCCCACATTTTCTATGGAGTTTCTGCTTTCCCTTTCCAAATCTTTTCGTTTGAAACTCCACATGTAAGAGGACATTGCTTGTTTGTTTTGTTTTTATTTTGCCTTATTGTCTTTAAATTTCGTTTTAGGAAAATGCCACAAAGAAAGAAAAGAAAAGAAAAAAACCCTTTGTTGTGTGGTGGATGATAACCAAATGAAGGAAAGAATAAATTTTTTCAAAGGTACCATAAAAATTCACTAGTTTAGATGACAAAAATCTGAATTTCTAGCACCATGCATATGTATTCTCTGTTCCACAAGCTTTTTCTTTATAGTGTAAATTGCTTTTGTAAATAAGGGCAGGGAGACTGTCTAAAATGCTTAAAACAAATCCTGTGCTCCTTAGCATTTTAGGAATACTGATGAATATTTAGATATATGCTAATTACTCATCATTTTTATCCATTCACTAAAATAAATGCAGCTCTTCTAAGAATTTCTAGAGGCAAATGATTTGCAAAATATGTTCCACATTCCGATCAAGGCACCCAGTATCTTCATTTCCTGGCTAGTGTTGACCTTGGGCAGCTTTGACTCCAGCCACAGGGCATTCAGAGCTCCATGCCTTATTAAATCCCGAAGGACTCTAATCTAAATACAGGGGACTGTTTCACAGCTCCTTCCCTGGGCTATACAGAAACTCCTGTCCAGTTTTCTTTAACTGAGGTCTGTGTCTTTTCCTTCTGGGGCTTCGATTTTCTGAATCTCTTGGTTGGACTGAATGTCTCTCTTCTTTGTTCCCAAAGGCCCTTCTGCCTAATTATCCTACCAACTACGATCTGCTCACTGCCAGGATCCCCTGTACCAAACCAATTGCAGGCATGGAGTGGACCCTCAATATTGATTGCAATGCAGCTGAACTCAGTAGTGGCATGTGAAACAATCTACACAATGAAAGTTAACAACAGACAACCATAACATTGTTTTATAATTGAAAATAGCCTTCAACCTAATTGGCCTTTGTTAGTGAGATCACACTGTATTAATATTGCCTTATCAATGTCACAGAGTTTCCATGACAATTTAATGGGAAAACATATTAAATATAATTTATAAAGTACTAAACAAATGTAAACTGTTTAAGTTTGTATTACTGAACTAAAATTATATTAGTTGTGTAACGTTTTCTAATAGGATTTCTTAAAATTAAGTTTCTTGAGAGCAAGAACATAGTCTATACTTTGTTTAAATAGATTAGACTTTAAACAAACCCACTTCATGAATCACAAGAAAGGGAATTCTGCTCAAAGCATACAAACAAAGAAAACTGCATGGAAAATCGTGGGTATGATGTTTCTTTCACTTGCAGAAGTTAGTACTTCTGTGGTAACAAACTAGGTAGGGCATAATGCTAGAGGTGCTATGTTTGTGGAACTCATGCCAAGGTGACAATCCCAGATAGAGTTAGGTTAAAAAAAAGTTCACTCATTTGTAGTAAATTACCTTCTTGAAACTTGTAAGTATCAGTAATATCCTGTATGCCATCTCCTCCAATTTGTTTGGTCACGATCAATTTCCCAATGTGGGTGGTATCCACACTTTGCACCACGTGTGTGCCGTCTTTCTTAGCTGTAATGTAAATAAGGTCACTGTTGACCTGCAAACAAGAAAGCAGAGCCTTAGCCATCATCTAGTTCACCAGATGCCGTGGTTGACAACTGCAGCACTATTCATAGCAGCTGAAATATGGAAGCAGCCTAGGAGGCCATCAGTGCATGAATGGGTGAAGGAAATACAGTACATATACAGGCATATTATGCAGCCAGAAGAAGCCCTTCGACACAACACATATGGAACTGCAGGTCATTGTATTAAGTCTCATGGGACAGATACCAAAAGACAGGTACAACAAGTTCTTACTAATTGGTGGAAGCTAAAGTCTGTCTTGCAGGGAAAGGAATGGAAGAGTGATCCCTAGAGCCTGGGAAGGGCATGGAAAATGTTTACTAAAGAGAAGCAGAACACATACAGGAGGAATTGGTCTGGTTTTCATAGGGAAATCTTTTATAAATAGCAAAAACCTATAAAGTGTTACAATGTAAAATGGCTTCTGCTATCTCTAACAGTAGTTTGTTTTGCTTAGCACTAATAGGCACTGAATGTACTAATTGCTGAATGAGGCATTGGTCTCATTCTGAGATAACAGGGCACATCAAGGTCTTGAGCTCCGAAGAGACTGGAACGACATGATCAAGACTGTGTAGATGAATGAACCCAATGCTAACATTTGCTCCCCTAACCCTGAATACCCACCTTTCTATGGACTAGAACAGATAACCAGGTGAATCTTAAAGGTAAACTCCCCAACTGCAAAGAACTGTTACGTCTGGGTTGAAAAGATGAACTATTCTGTGACCATGATTTGAACTGTGAGAATGAAATGGCACCACCCAAATGAAGTCAAGGCTGTGAAACCCTATAAAAGGAGGAGTTGTAACCCAACGCATCGTCAATCCAGGCACAGTTTATGTGCAATCAACCCTTATCGATAAGTAAATTTGTTATTTTACTTCCATTCTTCTGCTTCTCTGTGTCACTTACTGATTCCTTCTGTGAGAGTTTCCTCTAGCACAGCAGGGTATCGGGTGAAACAATCCATAATATATTTCAAAAGGACCAGAAAAAAAAGCACAGGGGCCGGGGATTCAGCTCAGCAGTTCGGTGGCCTGCCTTGCAAGCACAAGGACCTGAGTTCAATCCCCAGTACCAAAAAAAAAAGTACAAAGTTCCTAAAATATAAAAATGGCTAACATTTGATGAGATGAAAGGGCTTATTAACTTGATTTAATTATTACAGATTGTGTATACATATCAAATTACCTTAGTGTACCCATTAAACGCAAATATAATGTCTCAATAAACAATGAAAGAAATTCCTTGTTGCCCCAATCACTAACTTCCCATGGGGTAGACATGTAGAAGCCCTAGAGTTGGCATGTGACTTTGTTCAATAGCATTGGATTCACAGGGCCAAGTTTGCTTTAACAATACCAACAGTTAGATATTGTGCAGTTTCTCTTCCATGAGAAACTCAAAATATAAGTAAATTAAAGAGTAAAATAAAGGAGAAATGGTAGAAAATGGGAAGTTAGACTTTAGGGGTGGAGAAGGAGATCAGGGGAAGGGAGATAGAGGGTTGGGGGAAGGAGAATATATGTGATCAATACGTGTAATATATATATTCCTCAAAGTGAACATAAATTTTATGTATGGGAAACGCATACCAATAAAGACACATAATGTAGAATTCACAAAAAATTTCCAAAGGGAAAACCCACTTTAGATTGATCATGAGGATTTGAAATGGAGAATACCCAGGGACTGCTGTTATCAGTTGTCTAAGTAGCAACCATTTATTTCTCTCATTTTTCTTCCTGGGAATTCCACCTCCTGGAAACACATGCCCATTTCCTGCCTTCCCAGACCTCTTTTAACCTAGCAAAGGCCATGAAATTTACTTCCAGAAAGGAGAGGAAGTCCACCAGGGGCTTCTCGGAAAGCACTCTTTCCTTTTATGAAAGGAGAGAGGTGTACAGGAGAGTCTGTCCTTTCCTTCCAGCTTGCAGATGTTCACATGGGAGACGGAGTGTCATTAGAAACTACTGTGACCCCTGGGATGGTGAAGAACAGCTCTGTCCATGGCAGAGGCTGGCAGAGTGGCAAGGGAGGGGCATTTGCAGGCTTGACGAGGTGAGTCAATATTGAGGCAGCCTTGGGACCATCTCCTTTAAGATTACTTCTTTATGAAAAATAAACCTCAATGGTTTTAGTCATATTAATTCTATTTCTTGCAGCCAAAAAAGCATTTAATTGAAAAATAAGATTAGACCATCCAGGAGGAATTCAGGCAATTTTCTGGTGGCTCAGCAACTAAAAAATGCTATTTGTAAGACTTGGAAATAGCATCATGGGACCGTGGTGGCTGATCCCCAAGCTCCCCCAATGTTTGGCTTTCCCACTTTACTTTGTAGAGATAATGTCTGAATCTGTGGATGGATGTGATGTGAATATCCTAAGATTCCCAGGGGTGTCTCTGATATATTCTAGATTTGCAATGTTGTGGAACAAACACAATGCTTTGGGAATGCTTGGTAGAGCTCTACCACTAAGCTACACCTCAGTTCTCCTGTTGTATTCTTTAAGATCCATTTTTGGGGTGTTCCTTCATTAATGTGGTAGCAGACAGGAAATGTGATTAGCACTGCCAACAACCACAGACATATTCACTACATATTTTCCAAGTCCCTTTCCCAGCTCCTGTTCCCTTCTTTTAAGCAGTGCAATAATAGCTCTTCCTCACACGATGACTGGCAGAATGAACTGAAGTAAGTGCATGTAAACTACTTCTCAGAGTGTCTGGCAAAGAGCTAACTCTCAGTAAATGTTATCGATAATTATGTATTATTTAATAGCATTCTCAGATATCATTCAAGGTGCTGGAACCCTAACAATGGGAAAAATAGACTTGGTCCTTCCATTATAGGGCTTACATGATAGTAAGGGAGACTCCACTCATCAAAATTACCTGGGGGGCTTTAAAAAAGGTAGATGCCTGATTCAGGAGGTCTTGGGTGGGACCTAAACCTGTTGTGTTTTTAAAGAGGTTTTAGACAATTCTAATGAACACTAAGGCCTCGGAATCCCTGAAGTGCAATGCTATGAACACCTTGAGAGGATAAGTCTGAGATACTCTGGGAGCATGAGGGGTGGTGTGGAGGAGCTGGATGGACAGTGACAGCCAAGTCAGAAGTGCAGGAAACCCAGGAGTTGTGGCCTAAAGCCTAGAGGGAAGGAATGGCTGGAATGTGAAATCAGCAGTCAGGACAGGAGAGAACACAGCAGCTAACCAAAAATTATATGTTGTTTCGGAAAAAAGTTAAGGAAACTTTAGAAGAGCTCCCTGAGAATTTCAACATCCCCCTGGAGCACAAACAGCTACCCTCTCGACTTGCAAATTACAGCAATGACAATGACAAATATCCTCTTATTAACAGCTCTTACAATAGTTTGCAGTTTTGCAGGGAGATAAGGCTAAATAGGAAAGTGGCTAAATCTTGAGCTCCTCTTGAGTACAGCTTAAGAAATTTGTGGAGACTGAAACTGTAGGCCAGCCCACTAACATGGTCCCTTACAGGGAGTGGATGGGAGAAATATGAGGGTGAGTTGCTTTTCGTATGTGCATATTGAGATGGGAGGTAGGCAGAAAGGTTTCTTTTCAAGTGACATCCACAAACTCTCATTTTCATTTCCAGCCTCTAGTGTACTTGTTCTCCATTCAGCTACACAGAAGAATCACTGAGAGAGCTGAAAAAAGCAGTAATGAAAGGGCCCACAGGAGACCACTGAACCAGTGGTCAAGTGCAGGGTTTACCACAAGTCACAATACTTAGGCCATGTGGTGCTTGGTGAGTTGCTGAATCTTTCTCCAAAGGGGTAGTAGTAGATTGGTGTGGCTGGTGAGGGCTCTACATATAAAGCTAACTTCTTTCTCTTCTTTTGGATGGAAAGCATTCTGAGTAACCATCTAGTGCTTCTCCTACACTTGAGGGAGCAAGGGTCATGTGGGACTGGGCATCCTCTTGTGAAATCTGATGGCCTTCTCATGATGTGGCTCCCTTGCCTCATTATCAGACACAGGAACTTCCTAAGCAGCCTATGCCATTGACTGGGGCCCTGGGGGCTCTGTAACGGTGGACTGCAACCTCAGCAGGCTGGAAGGCCCACTCTGTGAGTTTCCACTTGCACCCATAGAAGGGAAACGCACATGCAGGGCTGGCAGATGCCTTACTTGTTACTGGAGTGGGAAATGCGCTCTGGTTTTCAGCACCATGGGCAGAGCCAGCGTTGGTTCCCAGCAGGAGATCACCTCCCCTGTGCACTCTGTAGAGGAAGGGTTGTTTCTCTGGGGCATATTGAGGCAGTGGATGGCTACCTGGCCCGGGCATTCCTGGAACAGTCTGTCAAGCACCCACCCTGTAATTGTCATCCTCAGCTTATATGTGCCAGGGACTGTGCCAGTCCTGTGTGCACTCCCTGCTACTTCATACACTTGCCTTTTCTCCAACTAGTATTGCCAGAGCTAGAAAATGCAGCTTTGTCCTTATTTCCAGGGTACTGTTCTTAGCAGCTTATTCTGCACCAGCTCTTATTTGATTAATTCATTCAAGTATTCATTCAACAAATATTTATTGCCAGCTGCTCTGCACCAGATCTTGGTCTCAGCAGTGAGACTACAATAGACCCTAGCTCCATGGTGCTACTATTGTAGAAGGGAGAGTATAAACTCTGAGGCAGAGTAGGAAAATGAAAACAGGGGACATAGAAATAGTTTATGTGAGTGGCCATTTTGAAGAGGTGACCTGACTGAGGCCTGATTGCAGGAGGGAACAGGACATGCAGACTATTCTCCTACCATAGAAGACGGGGCGCTGGCGGAGTGGGGAGCATTTCTAGAAAAGGTAAACTATGGGTAAAACGCTGACACAAGAGCATGCTTGGGTGTTTCCAGAAGAACAAGAAGGTCAGTAGGGCTGTAGAGAAATGAGCTGGAAGAAAAGGGAAGCCAGGGGCTAGAATATACAGAATTTTATAAAGATTCACAGTCAATCTAATAGTAAGCTGAGAGGAAACCACTGGAAGATTCAGGGCAGAAGTGTAACTATTTTAATTTAAACTTTGAGGGATAATTCTGGCTGATGTGTGGAGAATAAACAGAAGGAGGTAGAGAGGTAGAAGAGTTTAGAGGCAACTTTGTAGAGCTGAGCACTGTGCTAGGCTCCGGAGGTAACAGTGGAGATCATGGAAGTGGCTGGACTCAGCATATTTTAAAAAATAGTTTTGGCAAGATGCACAAGGAAGATTAAGAAAGCCAAAATAAATCTCCAATTTTATATATTATTCGAAGACATGGGTGAATCATTTTAGGTCAGAAAAGGAGACACTTAAAAATGAGCTGCATCTAACCAGGGAAGCAGAACCAACAAGCTTGAATTGAGGACAAAGAACCCACAGTGAAGCACTGCGCAGGTTGGGTACGGAGAAGAGCTGGCCCAGAAAGTGCAGCTTCAGGAGCAAGGGGCGGCAGTGGGGCCCTGGGGAGCCAGTCACTGCCATCCCAGTGCCTTTCAGGTGTGTGCTTGTGATCATGCCCATGTGTGCATACAGACACATGGGGGGGTGTGGTGTATGTGCCTGTGTGTGTCATTCCAGGGTATGGTGGTGTGAAGAAGGCAGTGACGCCAATAAGGAGTTAACACAGAAGAGAACCATCTTTACCAAGTAGAGACTTCTTTGCTGAAAAGCCCAAGCTCTTGGTGGCCAGGTGGATGCGGAGGACGCCAGGCACTCATTGGTACCCTACTCTTTGCTGGTCTCTTTAGAAGCCCGGAGGCCACCATGTGTGGGGAAGAGAAGGGAAATGGGTCTTCAGGACTGGAGGAACTCACCATGGAACTCTCAAGGAGGGAGGAGGTTAGAGAATCAGAGGATGGTCATGAAGCCTCTGCCCTCCGTTCCTTTGCATCCACAAAGAAGGGGAGGTAAAGGACCAGAAGGGACAATGCTGTCCCTGAATACCTCTCTTCTTTCAGGTTCTGCTTTCACTCAAAGAGAACAGGGCCTAGGAAAACTAAGAAAGTCAGCGCCCATGATGCTTGACCTGGCCTCAAAATGAGTAAGGAATAGCTAAGGACGTCTGCACACTGAAGAGCAAGAACAGCAAGCGGCTGCTGACATAGGAGGGGTAGTAAGAGGCTGATGACTGCAGCAAGGAGGAGGGAAAGGAAGCAGCCACGGGCTCAGGCCTGAGTCACACAAAGACTCATGACAGTTCCTTACAATGCCCCCCCCAGGGTGGCCTCCTCAGGCGCCCTTGAGCTAAGATGCCTCACACACTTTCAGCAGCCTGTGCTTCTCTCACAGAGCAGCACCATGTACCCGCTGCCAGGAAAGCTCTGCAGTGGGTGAGAGATGATAATCTGCAGATCCTGATGACATTCCTAACACCATGATCTATATTTAATAACAGCAAAGAGTGCCAGCATTAACAGCTATTAGCCCATTCATTTGTGCAGGGAGGCCTTGCCTCTTTCTTTACAGCCATAAAACACCATAAAAATATAAAAAGAAGGCTTTGGGGATTGTAGAGTGATTTCCCATTAAGAGGTTCTTGGACCATCATAAACTATCAGGTGGCAGCTGGGGAGGTTTGTACAAATCTTCAAATCCCAAAGTGAAATCAAACAGATAAAACTCCACGTACAGTAAGTCCAGTCTCCTGAGGTCTTTCAAAACAGCAGCAGCAGGTATGGTAGAAGAAACATGGTCCTTTTGTGTACTCTGAATCTCTGATTTTGCTGTCTGAGTATCAACACTCACTTTATTTCCTGCATAGTCCTCAATCCTGACAGCTTTCCCAACTGCTCCCATTTGCGTAGTTCAAGCCCTTCCGTCTCTGTCCTACAGGGGTGATTGATCCTCTCCCCGGCTCTCACTTCCATCCAGTCCCATCCAGTCCATGCCCCCAAGGCCACCAATGCCCTGTCTCACTCCTGGCCCCTCATGGTGCTGACTCTCCCTAGCTTACAAGATGAAAAGCTAATTACTCAGGATAGGAGACCCCATGTGGGCTTCCTGGAGCCTTCAAATCTTGACACCCTGATGCATCACTGTAAGCCAGAGAGTCTGCAGAGCTTTGAGTTGCCTACGTAGCATGTGGAGGCCCAAGTCATCTCTTCCACCTAAAACCCTTCCCTCCCCTGGCTTCTCTCTAGGCCCCTTTGCCTGAATAAGTGCTGATAATATCTCCTCTCTACATGACTACATCATTCTGCTTGTATTACATGGCTATACAGATAGCCTTCGAGTCATGATGGGGTTACAATCTGATAAATGATTGAAAGCTAAAGATGCCGTAAGTTGAAAATGTATTTGATGCACTCAGCCTATCACAACGCCCTAAAGTCAGAGAATCACAGGCAGAACCATGTTAAGTCAGTGAATTACATGACTCACACAGGGTCTCATAGTCTGCTCTCAGGCTGCTCTCCTTGCTTAAACAGTGCCTTGTGGACTTGGCTGTCTCACTGTCATGCCCGGCCTTATTTCTCCATTAACACATGGCTGGGTATAGCCGCAGGTTGTGTGCTGTCTTCACTGCTCATCTGACCAGTGGTTCCCTGGCGTCTCTTACATTGTTCCTATTCACTGTGATGTGTTCAAGGCACTGTCACCTCCCCCACCAAAAATTATGTTCCCAAGGACAGGGCAAGTCTCTGATGTCTTTACAGCACAGTGCTTAGCACATGCTGACGCCAAATATTTCTCCTTCTAGAGTGGTTGCATAGAGTGGTTTCTAGCCTGAGCTCAGGTGCTTACCCAGCTTTGAATCTTAGCATTTGTTAAATAGAATAGATGAGTAAGGAAAGGTTATTTAGCTGCTGTTTGCTATGGTTTTCTTTTTGGTGGGATGGGGAGAATTATAATGCCCATTTTAAAGGGCTTCCACAAGCCTCAGATGAGGTAAAATGATTACATAGCAAGAACTGCATACAAGAGAAAGATTATTTCAGTGTGTTATTTGATGCAAATGTACTCTGGGAAGCCATGCTTCTCAGCTTTTTAAATACTCCCCAACCCTCAGCAGCCTCCCAGCCTTCCTCACCGGGCACTTCCTACATTATTTCCTCTTTAGCACTCTCTCTGGAGCATCCTCTAACGGCTTTCTTTGTTTCCAGTCCCTTCTCATTTTTTCTGGACCTTCAGACCCTTCACCCAGTGACTCTACTGACCTGTTAAATGGGCCTCATTCCTCTACTGGAACAGCATTGTGTGTCCCTCCCTCTCCTGCTCACCTTCTCCTCCCCAACGGCAGGACATGGAATGCAGTGTTCAAGCTAAGACCACAATGGGGGATTTTGTTTTATGTGGATTGCTTAGAGGGAAGTCCTGTTCTCTGAAATTTCCACTCACAAGCTCTCTCTGCCAAGTTTTACTTGAATGATCCAGTTCATCCCTTAATTTCTCTGGAGCAGTTAGTTCACTGGTCATGAAATCACTTGCTTTTAGGGAAAAAATTCTCAAAGTACAGAGTAAGGAAAAATAATAAGAATCCCACTTAGCACTAAGAACGTGTGGTTGGAAAGAGTCAGTTGATATTGTAAACGAAAGCATACATCATGTTCCTGAGGGAACAACCTTGCATCTTATTCTCAGGTGTTAAGAGGTCAGGAAGTGAGAAAGCATTTTCCTCCAGTTTCCACTTACCTCGGCAAAGACAAAGGGTGCATCAAACTGGAAACACACATGGCCATGCTTGATGGCTTGGACAGAAGCGGGCCCACACCGGTACATGCCTGCGTCATACAGAGCGAGGAAGAATGAGTTCCTTGTCTCTACTTTTGTTCAGAAAACAGATGGTTAATAGCCCTGCGTGTGGCTGTACAGATTCCAGTGTTCCTGGACTTTCCTTGCTAATTTCACCCACATGTTTTCTGCAGCTGGGGAGGGCAGACGACTGCATGAATAACCAAAAGGCCTGTGTCAGGAATGGTTATGCAGACCAAAATCTGAAGTTGGGAATGAAAACGGGACCACACAGTTCCTGCACCTGTTCTGTCACCTACGAATGTCACTACATGTGTCTGTGACGGCTGTTGGCTCACACGCACTTTCCCTCCAGTATTTGAGAGGCAGGAAATGTTGATGTGTTCCTGTTTCTGCTGTTTGCTTTGATTTTTGTTTTTGCACATTAGGTTCAGTTTACAATCTGGACATTCACCACACATACCAGCCAAGGCGCACACATATTCAGGGGGTCAGCAGGCTACTATTGACTTTTCATACTCTTTAAATTTTAACCATCCATCCATACTTCATAAAAGATTAGCTGCCATTAAGGCTCTCTGAAATTGCCTCAGATATTCAATCCAGAACACCAGAAAGTGTTAAAATTTCTTCCTTAAAATCCTATTTTGTAATGTAGTTCCATTATAAATATGTACTGAATATTTAGGCATGTATATGTAGGTGTACACATCACCATCTCATACAAACACCTGAAGAAATAGACATAAATAAGCATAATTCCCCAGCCCACTGATTTTTCTATAGCATCACAACAGAGAGAAATGGAGGCTTAGGATATGATTCTATAAAAATCTGAGGTGGATCATAGCTGCCACTGTCTAATGGAGTTAGCAAGTTAGAAGAAAAATACTCACAAATTTAAGTTTTGAAAGAAGTCACACAACATAAAAATAAGTCAGGTTCTGGAAGAACAACAATTTAAAGGATGGTCTATAATTATTTTTCAAGTTCTTTATTTTCTCTCTCGTCTTATATCTTATCAGTGTGGATCAGGGAGGACTGGTTATGTTTTATAGCTTAGTAAAAATGCTTACACATATTTTTTTTCTCGTCTTCAAAACTGCTTATCAAAGCAAGAGTAGATGAATGATATACGTGAAGTTTTATATTCTTTTTCTGAAACTTGTAAAACAATCAGGTTAAAGCTGACTATGCAAATGAAATTATACCTGATTGACAGGTGGTTAATGTATACACATGCTCAGAAAGGACACCTCTGATGTTGGTTTCCAATGGGTGTGTTGCCCACATAACAAAGCAAAGATGAGAACAAAATAAATGTCAGTAGTGAAACAATTTCCCCAAGGGATGATGCCATCGCAATTTTCAAGGGTTCAAGGGTTTACCATCACTGTTTTCCTGCGGGGTGCTGTCCACAGCTTGCCAGCCTCCAAATCCGACGGGAAGATCTGGCCTTGTCATCCAGGCTTCATTCCAGCAGTGGTAGTTCCTTAGCAAACACAACCGCAGACAGGTGAGACTTCACGTCACATTCAGTGCTTGAGGACACAGAAGGGGGACCCAGAATCCTATGCTAGTAAGCTTCCGATTATTGGAATGGATAAAGCTAGGTCTTGGGGTCCTGGGGATCACCTGGGACTCCAGACCTGAGTGTGTTCAGCTGGCCCCTTCCCATGGGCACCCTCTGGGTCCTGCATGTTACTCCCTCTCTGCCAAGATCACTTTCAAGGTATCCTAGACATACTTTATTTTATTCAGTATGCTAGTTCTGATTTTAACCAATTTCTGCTACCTAAACAAATAGAAGTTACTATGTGCTGAAAGAGTAGGGGAGAAAAATTATTTGAAACCCAAATATTTATGTCTGAATTTTTTTTACACTGTTCTGATTTATAAAATCATATCCCTTTGGAACAATTAAGCAGCACATACTTGTATTTATGGTCTTAGGCCATTGCCATAGAAGCTATAACATTAACTTCTCCTGATTATAATTCTGCATAGTTTGTGACTATTTCCATCTGGTGTTCAACAAGAAGAAAAGGTCATTAGGGTATGTATCTCTTTACCCTTCATCAAAAGTGGACAACCCACGAGGTAAGGGCCATGTAAAACTTCCCAGAACTTTGCATATGACCCTTGAATCAAGAGAGTGGAATAAAACGTCATTATGAATTGGATTATTGTGTCCTTGGAAAGACCTGAAATTATGTGGCAGTACAGAATCAAATGAGAACACATTAACCCTTCTACAGTATAGAAAATGTTCATATAGTAATAACCATTTAACGATGGGGTGAGATAGTTACAGCGGTCTTTGTTTATAGCACCAATGAATTTCAGATCCAACTGCTATCCGTCCTTTCCCTAAATGTCCCCCAGTGTCAGTAATTTGTGCATGTTCCCATCTCTCTTGGAATGTAGCCCATTTCTCAACGGCATACTTAAGAGATATTAATTTAACTATGTACCCACTAGGCACCGGGCATCTCACTAGGTGTTAGAGATTCAAAGACAATCAGGACATAGAGAGCCTCATAACCTAGGAGGAATGACAAATATGTTCACCACTGATGAATACAGGAGGAGGGCCAGCTGTGATGCCTACATCAGAGAACACACGTGGTGATTAGAACAGGGATGGCATGTGATAAATATTCACAACGGGTCACTCTGAGATTTAGGAAAACAGCAAATTGAAGCAAGGCATGCTAAAATGCTGTTCATGGGGTGCCGTGGCGTCTCAGTGTGGTGGGGGGAAATCTCAGGGTCTCAGGGAAGACTTTCTGCAAAAGCGATGATTGTACCAATTTCCTGGGAAATGAAGATGTAAGCACGTTGATAAAGGGAATTACACAGTCGATAAGTAGCCCAGACCTGAAATTACCAGCACGGTGTGTTTGGGGAACTGCATGGTACTGGCTATACTGGAGGGCAGCATGGTCACATATTGGCATACATGAGAGAAGAAGAGTGACCACAGGTGAGGGTGAGGGTGCAATGTACACAGCTGACAAAGGCATGTAACATTCTCTCATGCCAGGTGCTGTTCTAAACCATTTAGGGATATTCACATGTTAGATGTTCCCTGGTGCCTGCGAATTCTATTGTAATTATCCCTAGTCCACAAGGGAGGAATCTGAAGCCAGGGAGGCTAAGAACCTGCCTTGACTCCCACAGGTAGTTCATGGTGGAGCGCTGTGGTCTGTGTTCTTCAATAGCAAGCTATCATAGAAGGAAGGCCAAGACTGTAAGATGCTTTTATGTCATGTTAATATTTGTGCTTTACTCTTAGGCATGGAGAAACTATTGAAATTATTCAAGAAGTATAGTTAGATTTGCAAATCTTGGTTTGTGGAAAATGGGTGGAGAGAGCAGAGTGAAAATGGAGAGCTTAGTCTTTCCCCAGAGTCTGTCCACTCTGTTCCATTCTGAAACACTGCAATAAGACAATGGACCAAAAAAGCATTCACTACAGAGGTGACTGACACCATGGACAGGGAGAAGAGCATGGGAAGGAAAGACCAGAGGGTCTGTGAAGAATCTGGATGAGGCAAAGAAGACTCTGAGTCTGCAGGGAATATAGCGGCTTTGTCATCAAGACTCTGGACATAGCAGAAGAAAGTTTGTCCTGAGTGTGGCAGGGATGGGTGGGTGACCAGCTCAATTTTGGACATGATGGATTTGTGTGCCTGTGGGAAACCCAGGAGATGAGACCCAAGAGACATTTTTGTAAATATATGTGGCATTCTGGATTTGACAAGGTGGCCGCTGGAGTCTTTATGGGTGGTGGAGTGTGGGGGCAAAACCCATTGGGTTGGGAAGGGGAGAGAGGTGTTACAGATTCTTCTGTAGGAGATATTTAAATTTCAAAGGGGACAAGAAAAGATAGGGTGCTGCCTAGCACATCATAAAAATGCAAGGAAGGCTTTTGATTCTTTGGATTAGGGGAGATTGAGACATATTCCTGGAGACAAGGAGGTGGGAATAAAAGGAGCTTCCTACCCAGGATGGAAGAGGAGGCCAGAGCAGCCCTGTGGTAGGTGTGCGAAGTGGGGTAGGGTCTGCAGGGTGAGGAAGGGGTATTCAGGCACACTCAGTATGGACAGGGACAAGGTGAAGAGGTCTCTGAGCAGGATCAGGAGACTGGTTCCCACCTGAAGGCTGCCTCTGTCTCTGCTCTAAAGCTGGAGTGAAGGTCCTGTGGGTGTCCACACCTTTGCCAGGCCCCTTCAGAATGGCAAAGGGTGACCCAGGGGACAGACCGATCCAGAGCAGTGATCCCTGACCCTGGCTTTCTCTGCTACCCCATCACCTTGGATTGATAGGCTCCAGCCCATCCTTATTTAAATTCAAATCTCCTTGGCCAGGTTAGCCTGAAACAAGAGAAATATGTTTTGCACTTCAGATATCAGTAAGGACTTTTCCTTGAAGGTAATATTTCTTTTCAAATGACCAGGAGTTGTGGTAAGATTCTGTTCTCTCTCTCCCTCTGACACTTAATTAGTTAAGCAAGATCTCACTCCCAGCTGCACATATGACTGAGGTGACACCTGTGGCAGGAGGGTCACACACAGGGTCAAGGACTTGCAGGAAATGGCTGAGGTGGAGTGGAAGTGACAGGTCTCAGTGGACTGGGTCCCTCAATGGTGGCAAGCCAGTGGCTCAGGATGGCCAGGGAAACACCCTGAGGACTTATTTCCAGTGGACGTAACTCTGGGTACACAGGTTTAACTGTGATAGCCAAAGTTCCCCATGGAAAGGGTTGTTGCTATAGATACTTATACTATTTTGCTGTTGTGGTGTACAGGATATTTGGTGAAAAGGAAAGAATTATCTCTGGCCATTATTAAGTTCTTAGCATTTTTGATGTAATTCACACACAGTTCAGAGGATCTGCATTTTCCTAAAGTATGATTTCCCTTTAGTTTAAGAAATTTCCTTAACACTTCCTTTTAAAAGTTTTAAATTGGTTTGGGGATTTAGCTCAGTGTTTCCAATGTCTACCTCACAAGCTCAAGGTCCTCAATTCGATCCACAGTGCCAGAAAAAAAATTTAAATTGGCAACTACTAATAAAAGTAATAAATAAAAAGTAATATATATTTAAAGTTTTAGAACACACTTATTTTTCATATTTGTACCCATTGTAGAAGGATTAAAACAAGCCAATTCATATATCTAGCATCACTTTTGTGGTGAGCACATTTGAAATTTATTTTCACAGCAATTTTGAAATATATAGTGCATTATTTTTAACAGTAGTCACCATGCTGTGCATTAGATCTGAAATACTTATTCTTCCTGAGCAGATATTTCTTAGTCTTTTTACTAATTCTTCAGGTTAGGAAATATATACTGATTCCTGAAATGCTACTTCTCTTTGTTTGTTTGTTTTTTGTTTTTTATTGAGTTTATTGGCACTTTTAAAGTATACAGTACAGTTACATTCATCACTGGGATCTTGTGCCTTTAAATGACAGATCTTGGTTCTCATTTCTCTTTTTTAAAAGCTTCTTTACCTAGAGCCATAATAGTCTTTCTGTTTTAATCTTGACAAGTTTTTCATGCATTTGTAGATGGCATGAATCTATTTTTGAGGCTGTTTGTCTCATTCAATCTCATATTTCTTGCCCTGGAGTTGGGCCAGCCCTGAGAAGGTGCTAAGTACAGGACCCCCATCCCCACAGGGCACACACTCCAAGGCCACAGTGGTTGCCTGAAACCACAGATAATGACAAACCCTAAAGTTACTATGTTTATTACTGTACACACTTACCTGTATAATAAGGTTTAATTTATAGATTGGGCACAGTTGATTAACAATAACTAATATCAAAATAGAAAATTATAACAACATACTGTAATAAAATTTGTGTGCATATTATTTACTTGAACACAACCTTGTGATACAACCACCACAGCCATTGTGTTAATTAACCAAGCCAGTTATTAAGTGACTACAGGGCAGGTAGCTTAGACAGTGTAGATACACTGGATAAAGAGATGATTCAATTCTGGGTAAGATGGAGCAGGATAGCATGAAATTTTGTCCTATCACATCAATGTGAAATTAAAAAAAATTATGACTTGCTTATTTATAGAACTTTCCATTTAATATTTTCATACTATGGTAACTAAAAGCATGGGAAGTGAACTACAGATAAGTGAACTACTGACTTGGTTGGAAGAACTAGAGGACATCTCCTAACAAAACAAATGTTATTAAATATTGGTTTGCTTGCTTGTTTTTTAAGAGTCATAGCTTTATATTTTCTCAGCACGATCATTTGTAACTTGAGTTCCTACTATAGTATTAAAATGTTTAATGTTCCTCTAATATTAAAAAGTTATAAACCTCCAAAGCCATCTAGTATCCTTGTTGCCTCTTTGTAAATGAGTGCAGGAATTAAAATAAGGATCTTGTTTTATTGAATATTGTTTACTCCATATGAAAAATTGGGGGAGGGCAGAAAATGATAAAGCTGAC